AAAGACAGGGACTTCTGCAGTGCGGCAAAGGGGTCAACTATACGGCAGCGAAGGGCCATACTGGGGGCGGATTAATTATGAGGAAGAGCCATTCCGCTGATAGGCATTTAACGTTAAAAACAAGAACGAGAAGGGCCCGAAGACTACGGCTGTAGCAAGAAAATAGTTGTAGAGCCAGCGCAGAAATGGACCAGTAGTTTTAGTAGTGTAAGCAGCTGCCTGGAAAGAGGTTGTGCGCCACTCTAAGGTGGACATCCACCGTGGAACGTTAAAGTCAAATAGAGTGCTGGCTATTGAGTTGCTGGCAGCTTGATTAATTAGTATGCAGAAGCGGCACGATTTATTAGGCTCGGTAAAAACTGATAGGTGTACGGTGTTGAATACAGGAGAAGGAACAGACAGAAATATTTGCAACAGCTGTAGAGAGAAGTGTTGCTATAAGGACTGAAGCAGATGCCGAATAACAGAGAGACGTTAATGTGAGCAAAATAGCTTGGTAGTGGAGCCGAGAGGCAAAATTCAATCAGAGACCGGAGATTTCAATTTCGATATGAGGGAACATGCATACAGATGTTGAATCAGAAGAAGACAAGTAACATGAGGCTGCCAATGTTACCAGTTAGTACCATAGACAATAGCAGCCGATGCGCAAACTAAGAGAAACATTGGTATGAGATCTAGGGGCATTTGGATCCTCAGAGACCGGAGTGGTCCAAAAGGTTTAAGAATGAGTGGCATAGCAGCGAGGAGAACTTAGCAAAGCTTGGAATTTTGCGCTGGAGCAAGCAATACCAAGAACACTATTGGAGAGTTACGACATGGACCAGTAAAGAAGCCAAACTAGCGAGGGGGACGTTAATGTGAGTTATAAAGCATGATAATGGAGCCGAGAGGCAAAACGCAAGCAGAGGCCGGAAGGTTCAGTTTCTGACTAAGCATACACACAATGAATCAGACGGAACCAAGTATGAGGCTTTGCTTTAACCAATGGGCATTTGGTCAATAACAGCTGATGCGCAAACGAGGAATTGGTTGAGATCTATAGGCATTTTGAGCCTCAGAGACAGGACTGGTCCAAAAGATTTAAGAACGAGAAACAGAATAGCGGAGGGAAGCTAGGGAAGAGTGGAATTTTGCGCTGTGGTAGCGGTACTAAGACTACTATTGAGGCTTTGCGATATTGACCAAAAAGAAGCCAAATGAGAGAGGGAGACGTTAAGGTGAGCTAAAAAGCTTGCTTGTGGAGCCGAGGGGCAACACTCAATCAAAGGCCAGGAATTCTAAGTTCTGTAGGAGGGATGAAGCATAAAGACTATTAAACCAACGGAGACAATTATCTTGAAGATGTTGCTTTTCTTAATGTGCACCATGGTCATTGGCAGCCGATGCTCAGAAAAAGAGGCATTGGCTTGAAGCGTATGGACATTTGGAGCCTTAGAGACCGGACTGGTCCAAAAGGTTTAAGAATGAGTGGCACAGTAGCAAAGGGAATCTAGCGAAGATTGGGATTATGCGCTAAAGCTAGCGGTGCCAAGACTAATAGTAAAGAATTGCTATAGAGACCATATGAATTGCCAGATGAGAGCTGGAGACGATAATGTGAGCTAAAAAGCTTGCTGGCGGAGCCCAGCGACAAAGCTCAATCAGAGGAAAATGTCACAGATGTTGCAAAAGTAATGAATAGATGAAGGTCTACAAGTAGGGACTAAGGAGTGGCTGTGCGCAGACTTGAGTTATGTGAGGTCAGATGGGGAAAACGCTTATATGTGGTCAGGTCGTTTCCCACAGTTCTTCTTAAAGTCTGTTATTGCTTAAACGAGTAGAAACGTGACTGACGATGAGGTACCTATTGAATGCTGAAAGGAATTGGATTACATCGTCAGATGTCCGCACGGTAAACGGAAGCCAGTTCCACATATACGCGTATCTGTAGAGATAAAAGTATGCACGCATACTACTGTGGGCTTTCGGCAAGACAATGGAGGGCGGGCTATTACAAAGAGAGTACGTAATGTTAACCGATGATAGCAAGGGCGTTATTGAGTTCGCAAGAGGATTCTTGATAAGCCGAAATAGGAAGATGAGGTTAATTTTCAGAATGCGAAGCCATAAAGGCTCTAGCACGAGTTCGATGCACCGACCGCGATAATTGAGGGTAGAGTGGCCCAAAAGACGCTTAATAAACGATCGCTGAACCTTTTCAGTGGCTGCTTTGTCGCATTTTCTGGAGTTGGTTAACACAATGATGCAGTATTCTAGCAGAGGTCAGGCGCAGGTGTTGTATAGAGCAAGCCGTAAATGCTTGAAGTGCCATTGATTTGAAGATGTAGCATATGAGGGAGCGTGCATTTGCTGAGCAGTGGCTCACTTGCGCTGCGAAGTTCAGAGAACTGGAGTAATGCACACCTAGGTCTCGAACTGTGGGGCTATTAACAAGCGGAGATCCCTGAAGCGCTAACGCCTCGGGCGGAACAACGCAACGGTTTGACAGGACGTTGCATTTAGCCGGTGAGTATACCAGATTTCAAGTGTTGCACCAAAATTTAGAAGCCCTAAGGTCGCACTGAATCTGGGAAAGACCGGCTTGCATGTTTGCTGGGGGAATGGAGAACACTATTTTGATGTCAGCGGCTAACAGGTATGGGTTGCCATATTGTATTACCTGGAAAACGTCATTGATATGTAGCAAGCATACCAGTGGGCTTAGTAGGCTGCCCTGAAAAACGCTACTTGTGAATGGTTTGGGAAGTGATATAGACTCGTCTTCCATTACTGCTTGCGTGCGAGATGAGAGACAAGGTTGGAACCATAAGAGTGGGCGGTCTGAGATTACGTAGAATTCTAGCTTTACTAATAATTCCGCGTGTGGTACTCTGTCAAAAGCTTTTCTCATATCAAGGAAGATTATGACTAGTGCTTGTTTAGCATCAATCTGTGCACTCGCATTGTTAAGAAACTCAAATAGGCAGGTCTGACAGGATTTGGACGGTAAAGTCCGTGTTGTCGTCTATTGATAAGGTTGCGACTAAGTAGAAATTTCAGCAGGTTCTCCTTAGCAATTCTTTCCATCACTCGAGGCAATAGGCGTGGGGGCTGATGAAGCGGTAGTTTTCTAGGTTTTGACGGCTAATTTGAGTATGTCTAGGGAGGACCGTGGAATGTTTCCACCTGTTTGGATGCATCCAGAATTTCATTGAGATGGTAAATAAGTTAAGAAGCATAACAGGAAGGTCCTGGCCGCCGAGTATCCGCAGTGCAGATGAGAATCCATCAGGGCCACGGTTTAGCGACAGCTTAAGTTATCTAATTACTTGGGTTATAGAACGTAGGTAGAAGGTAATAATGTCTAGCACGTCGTGGGTAAGTTTAGGCACACCAGTTTGCAAGACCAGATTGTTTTCGTCAGTAAAGCATTTGCAGAAGTGGCTATTGAGTACCCCATCTGTGTCTATCGGAGCACTGAGAACGGACTCATCAGCGAGTCTTAGAGAGGTGATGGATGTTGCTGTACGATTGTTCCTAGATTTCAATGGCTGAGTGAGGGAATTGGTTTTGTTGTTACTCACAGGTTTGTGTGTTCGGACGATGGTGGCTCAATAAGGGATGTCGCGGATCGGGGATCCAGCCCTAGTTTCTACAAGTTAGAAACGCGCCTGACAATGGAGGGTGAATATGGTAAAGTGACCGCAACAGACAAACACTGTGACACGGTTACGAGACGCAAAGTGGGCATGCGGCAGGTCATGTGGAAAGCTGGCGAAATCAGGTCACCATCCACGACACAGGTTGCCACGCGGTCTTGAGCCGCGTCACCACAAATCTGGAGTATTTGTAGTACCATTAACTGAACATCCCGCATGATAATGTGCAGCTGGAATAGTGGTTAGCAGCCCGTAGATTGGATATCGATACTCTTGCCAGTGGATCCAAGATAACTGTGGATAGCTCGGGGAAGAATGCAAGAGACTCGTAACCACGTCAAGTCCAGACAGCGGTTCCAATACAGGCCGTTTGACCCAACTTCACATCAGTGGATGATAAGCATATAATAACATTCCAATATGAGTCGAATGCTCACAAAGGCGCGTAGCCCTCAGTCGCAGGTAGTTCGTCTGCAGCTGCTCGAAGCTACAATGACTCTCGGGTGGCGCCAATTAAATTTCCCTATGACCACAGGTACTACGCGTGCAGAGCAAATGTGAGTCAGCTGGGAAACAGTAGTGCCTCCCAACTACAGACTTCTCGGTATTATTCCATTTGGCTTATGCTGGATGTCGGGTGTGTGTGAGGCATTTAGCTTCTAACCACGTCTCGGGCTCCAACCCCAGCTCCTATTAACGGTTAGATATCTTGGCAGCACTCCGGCTAAGGTATAGCCATTTGCAATTGCACAGCTATGTGGTATGGGTACATAGCCGTGTTATGCTGCTGAAATCCTCCGGAACAGTCACAAGACAGTTTCAGAGCTCCACTCAATCCAACTCATCCATATGGATAAGGGTTCGGCAGTACCCTTGTAAGTCGTACTGACGCCTCTGTCACGCGACCACTACCAGTCGTGAAGGAATACTTCGAGTTCGGCCGTGCAGACCCAGGTAGATGAACTCTACAACCCAAAGTGGGAACAAAGACTGCTTCGAACGTCGCCGACCAGATATATTACATGAGAAACTGCTCGGTTCACAAAGGTCTTCGGGCCAATTCGGTGGGCAATGTATCAGCAGAGGCAAGGGAGACAAAAGAGCAGGGCCCAGCGTGCAAATGATGAAAATGGTAAATAAACTACTAATTTAGAGAGCAACAGAGCGAAGTAATAAGTTGGGATACATCATAGCACGAACAATGGATTTATTTGATGGGTAGGAAACGTAGACAACGCGGAGGCACATTCGTCGAAGCACTTATGTCCTACTGTACCAAGTGTTCAGTCGTTGAGTTTTAGAGAAGGCATTAATTCCGAGTAGGAATAAAAATGGCAGTATGAATAGATTAAATAAAAATTACCTTAAATCACTTGGTGACAGAGAATCGATCAATGGAGTGCTACCGTTGAGCCAAACCGATTCCCAAAGGTATTGCTTGCCAGGAGTTGGACGGGAAGAACACAGAACCGGTGTGGGACAATAGTCTGAGGGTATGTTGGAGCAGAACTGGATATCGTCCACCACAACCTCCGCGCCAACTTTAAGTAAGGCAACAGGTAATGCCATGATTAGGTTGCTTATATGAATGGAATGTGATGAAGAATAGGATCCGTAACAACAAGAAGCATCATCATCATCATCAATCATAATCAAACATCATCATCATCAACAACAACAAGGTTAGTACATCAGGGGTTTGAGTTGGTGTTTCACTGCTGTACAAACCCAATGGCCTAAAGAAGAAGTAACAAGAGAAAGAAATGGGACTTATCGTGTAACCGATGCGCCATAAGCGAACATTCAGAGGCCATGCACCCACGCCTTGTCGGCAACATGCGGTAGCAAACAGCTGCACACGGTGCAGAGATAAGGCGGCATCGGCGAGACAGTTCCATTACTTCGCAGATAGCTCAGCACCAAATGCACTCTAAACAGTCAATCCGACTAGGAGAAAACAGCAAACGTACCAATGAGACCGACTGTGTCATGTACTCTAGCGTCTCTAGCTACTCATGAGGTGGGTCGCGATAGACAAATTGCACCTAGTTTGGCCGTCAGTGATTTCAATTCTCGCTAACAAGTCAACTTTTGCAGCCCTTCGGTAAACAAAACAAGACTGTTCTCGGTAAGCGGCGACCTGCAATACGTATCAGATGCCAAAAGCAACTTAATTTGGTATTATTTGTTATACAAAAGAACTAACGTGGTCAACCCCGTATTGTGCTCGCATGTGCACATCATCATACTGGATGCCAACAACGTTCCACAGGCGACAATGCTTAAAAAAAGGAAGGTGTCTGAGGTAAATAGACCAAAGCGGGCAAAAGTCTCAGTACTATAGAGTAAAACAGCCCTCATAGTGGCCTTGTACACACACGGCCGACGGAAATCCCGTTCTGACACCACCGATGTTGCAGATTCAAGAAGACAGTTCCAGTTTTCACAATACGTGTACTAACGTCAGTGGTAACGTGTCCATCGCTGCTGATGCGCCGACAAAGGCATAGTGTCATACATTAGGCGGTGGCTGTGATACTTATTCCAGCTTTCTGAAATGTCTCGTAGTGTAGATAATTACGCACTCTTTATGAATAATCAGCTCCAATTTTGGGAAAACATTTCCGGAACACATGGATAACATAGAATGTGGAGAACGGACAAGTTTCTGAAGGCACCAATAGACAGCGAACCTATGCAGGCGATACGTGAGCACTAGTGAAACAACAGACAACTTGCCTTCCTCGTCAATAGCGACAGATGGGAGGAGATCCAACTGGTTCCGTAGATTTGATCGGCCAGGCACATTGCGCTGTTGATTGGGTGGCAAGGGAGCACCGCGCAGATTGGTCAGGTATGGTGGCGGGAGGCGATGAAAGGGCACCTTGCTTGGTGCGTGGACAATCTCGAAGCACACGCTCGGTGGCGGTCGGTAGATGTTTCGCGGGGTACCAGCTCTGGATGTCCCAGCATCTGACTGGTTTTCACGAGACTCAGAGACGTTACTACCAGAGGTGATTCGAGAATTCCGCCCCGTCCGGTCATAACGTGAGGCCATTAAGCCAGCCACCGATTGTGGTGCCGTAGGCGAACCAAGCGCTAGGGTGATGCGCGTCACCAGATCGGGGGTGTTGTGGCATACTTCTTTCCACTCTGCAGTATCAAGTTCCCAGTGGAAAAATTGCTCATCTACGTCGCAGATGTTAGGCTGAAATGAGGTGGAAGAAAAATGCTTAACTATAATGGGATGGCTGGCTGGATGAATGAGGTTCTGGGTGACTGGAGAAGCGATAGCTGCCGCGCGGTGTATAAACTAATCACTGAAGAAATCAACGGACATCTGTAACAATAAACAAATAAATAGTATATCTCTCGACGGCGCGAGACATAGACCGACTACCTGGTCTGATCATTCTATACAACATAATCGGATAGTAGAGGAAGTTGTTTGAGTTTTTCAAAGTAGTTACCAAAGGTGTCTTTGGAGCGTTGTATCAGTTACAAGCAACAAAAGGACAGAGAAGTAGAGAGGAGGAATACATGTGGACATAGCCAGCAGTTTAAGTGAACTAACGCGACCATCCGTGGAACAGTCTCCTAGACAACCTACTTCCAAGCGGGTAAGTTCTTCTTCACTCCGTTTTATAATTGTTCGTTTCCTAGATCACTGCGGTTGTACAGCAGAGAAGTAGCAGTTCAAATGGCAGATGTACTGCTGTTGATAAGAATGATGAGCCCGTTGAAAGATTTCACCCACACTTTAACGTCGCATCTGGCTGTGCGCTGATGTGTCTGAAAAGCAAGCAAGTCGTCACCATGTACACACGTTTCTACGGCTGCGGTTAAAGACAAGTAGGTCGTCATCAGGTTGACAAATATTTATAAAGCCGCTGTTAGACGCTAGGCACTCTCGCCATACAGCCTATTCAATCTCTGAGCTCTTTCTAGCCTCGCACTTTAAGTATTCGCCAAAGATACTGTGGTGAGTCGCATTGCGTGGGTGTAGTAATTAGCATGGAAGCTTCAATCCGTCAAAACAAGAGATCGGCCCAGTCGTGGCTAGCAATGGAAGGAGAAGAATATATAGAAATGAGATGAAAGAACATTTGCGATAAATAAATGTCTTACGTCCGATGGTTGTCCGGTTCAAAGTGTACATCAGGATAATAATAATAACAATAATGATACTAATAATAAAATAGTAATAATAATAATAATGAGTCATTTGTACACCGTAACGCCGTTTCGCTGCCGCGTGGCCACCACTAGTCGCGCGTAGGCCGAGTATACCGCGAGAATGCCCGCCTTTACGCGGATTCGAGCCGGTGACCTTATGATTGTAAGCCATGCGTGCGGACCACTCGACTGTACATCAGGATCAAAAAAAGAATAAAATAAAATAAAAGTATATACGCTCCCGAAGTATTAATGTAAAGAGAAGTCTTGAAAGAATATTGAGAACGACCCGACAGCTGCAGCTGACCGAAAGAGGAGAAAAATTGATACCGCAAATTCCTTTCGAAGGGCACTGGGAGCTGTTACCGGTACCCAGTTCGCTGCTTCCGGGGAAGAAGAGAAAACAGTTAGCGGTGTAGAGCAAGTGTACATAATGAAGATAAAATCATCAGGACAATTTTCCATCTTGGTCGTATTGGACGTGGGGTTACGTGGATATTGCGCCGTTGATCCTCAAGCACATCCATCGAAAACGGTCGCCAAAGGAGTGTTTCCGTGATAAACGATAGAAAATAAGTACTCACTGCAAGTATGGGTCTGACTGGGTGACAAGTACGTTGCGTTAAATGTTTCCCAGTAATTAAAAACATAGCTTCTCGATCGTCAGGTAACATTCAAAGTTTAGCTGCACTGATTTAGCTCGGTTTAAAACAAAAAACGATAGAGTGACTTGTTGTTACTGAGTGTAGCGTAGTTGCAACGAGAACTTTTGCTGAAGGAGAATACATTTATGTTCCTTAAGTTAGAGTCGCCATCCTCCTCCTCCTCCTCCAAGGGATGGTGAATCTCGGATATGCAAACGTGTCTATCCGTTAACTGGGTAACCAGAATGGTGCCAAATTCCAACAAGCATAGGTTGGAACAGTATTCTATTGTTTCCAATGGCATGGAACTGTTCGACTTTAAGGGCCCTCGCAATTTACCAACAATCAGGGTCAATGCCGACATTTCCGGTCAAAAGATATTACAAAGGACTGTAGACAAGTTGAAACTGACAACCAAGTGGCATAAGCTTGCGTACTTCAATTAGACCAATCCAAATATCAAAGCACCATGTAATACACAGAAACTACGTTAGCAGAAAAAGTCAGATTGAGTGAATTGGTAAAGCACACTGGGGTCGATTCTAGACAACATTTTATTTGTTTGTTTTATGCGTCCGTGACGGTTGGTGTTGCGACTCAGGATAATACCGCTACTTTGTAGATCGCAAATATAGTTGCCAGACAAGAAAGCAGCATCGAAGTTTAATACTTCACCGAGACCAGAAGCGCGAACGTCAAACGAGCACACTCAAGAATATGCTCGGAACTGAGACGTGCTCTAGATTGACGGAGACTGATGTGTGCTGCCTGCGACTGGTATCGGAGTGGTCCCTTCGAATCCACGTAAGCTAGTCTCTCTATGAGCGTCATGGAATAAAGTGTAAAAAGTTGTGCTGGAAAGCTGTGTTGTGGGTTTAGGAGGAAGAGTACACATTTAGAAACTGCATAATCAGCTCACCGCGGAGGCTAGCACCTCACAATAACGCAAATCAAAAGAAGTTGATCAAAATGCGGGTAGAAAAGTACGCCTTAGCAGAAGATTCACCGAAAACAGAGCACATGAAGGAAGAGATTAGAAAAGGGAGACGTTGATAAGGAGATAAGCAAAAAGAGAGAACTCACACGGGTCTGACTTTGGAATGATTGGCTGTCAAGGCTAGCCTCTTCGGGACGAAACACTGACAACAGGCCACTTTTGGTAACAACCAAGAAACCGACACCTTCGCAGGTTGGCACGGCGCGACATGCCGTGATGCGCTGTTGCCTCAAAGACCCACTGATGGATGGGAGCACTCCCAGTTGGCCTTGTGACGCAGAATCTCGTGCCGTTTGTCCGCCTGGGCGGTGATACGAGCTGGAAGCGACCTGATCGCGCTGTGATGAGCGTCGGCTCCCATTAGGGTATGTCCAAATGGAGGCGTCCTCGCCTGGGCCTAAGGGATGCCAGACGAGACCAACCTCTGGATCGAATTCGCAAGGGTGGAAACGATGATGGCACAAAAGCGGATGGAATTCGTGTTCCCTGTTTGGATTGGAGCCTTCCGATTCGGTGGAAACAAGCGCGCGATGGAGTCGAATGTTCCACAACTGAAAACGGCCATCCACTCCACCGGTAGCCAGGATGTCGTCGTCCAGTGGCGAGGGAGCGATTGCGTGTACTGCTCCTTCATGACCCTAGAAATAAGTGAAACAAATAGGAACGGAAGCACGGTAAGACAAACTCAAACATAAGGGTGAAGAGAGACAACTACAGGGGACTCACCGATGATGAGTTTAAATGAAATTGTACCATGAAACCCTAACGCGAAATTCTATGCTTGTTGGTGATGCGAAGCTCATCATGTCGAGTGCGTGCAACCACCTAATACCGTCACACCTAATGAGGATTCGCGTGACCGATCTGTAGGAGGAGTGCTCGTAGGTCGTCAACTTCAAAGCGACAATCAAATGCAAGTGTTAGACGGAAGCGCAGGTGGAAGAGACATAACAACATAACGTTTAATTCTACCGACGAGGAAAAGGTAGAGTAAAAGGTTTCAACCCCATATTTCGTCTTCTAACGGTTGGAGTAATCGTCCAAACGCGTAGTAATGGAAGTCAAATCCCTGGGGGTCGGCTCTGTTCGCTGCACATCGGAAACGCACATAGAAATCATCAACAACAGCAGTACAACAGACATATGAAATAATGCTTTGGCGCCATACAACCATAATGACCTAGAGAAGGAAGAATAATAAGAGGGAGAGAAGGGGATTTACCGAAAAACTTTAATATCCTAAGCAAACATTCATGTTCAAGACGCCTAGAACTAGTTAAGAAAATACCACCATAAATAGCTGGATATCGTGCAAAGATAAGACCACATCGGCGAGACAGCTTCCTTGCGATTTTCGCTGACGCGTGTCATAATCAACTATTACACCGCAGATAATTCAGCACCAAACCCACTCAAACAGGCGGTCCGACTAGGATACGGCAGCAGACATGTCCTGTAAAGCCTCCAGCCAAGCAGAAGGAGGGTCAGGTGGACTCCAGCTCGGAAGGCGAGACGGACCAATGGCATCTAGTTTGGTCGTCAGGGACTTCAATCCCCGCTGCCAAGTCAACTTTGTCTACCTCGAGCTATGCGCCACCCTACATCTGGCGGACTAAACAAGGCCATCCTAGGTAAGCGGCGACTAGGTATAAGTAGTACGTGCTCAAGTCAACGCAACTTATTCAGTGCTAGCTAGTGTTCCAACGAACTAAGTTGAGCATCATTGCCTGGCACTCGCCTACGCAAGTCATCGTTGCGTGCACGCTAGTATCATATGACACTAGCAATGATCCGCAGACAACGATGATCAAAAAGTTGAGGGCGCTTCAGATCTACAGACCGAAGGGGCCACAAGTCGCAACACCATAGAACAAGATGGCTCTTACTGTGGACTTGAAGACACGCCCTTTCAGATGGAGGGAAACTCTCTTTTGTCTTCAAAGATGTCGCAGGTTCAAAAGGCAGTTCTGGCTTTTGCAATGCGTGAACTGACTACAGTTTCTACGTACCTATCGCTGCTGAATCAACTACCAAGTGAATCGATCAACCAGCTCGATTTTCTCATTAGCAAGGGTCAAAGGATCATCAAGCGGCAGGTGGTCCTGCAGCAACACTGGTTCTTCGAATGTGCGAAGCGCATACCAAATAATGAGGCCGCTCAAGTGAGGTTATTCAGGGTTGATTGCGCCGCCGCAACATCGTCAAAAAGCAAAAAGCACAAACAAGGTCAAGTAAACTTGCACAAGACAGCACACAACGCCACAACGTGAGATTCCGTAAGGGAACACTGGATGATGGAGTCCACGACGAAGTTGAACAAAAACGGAGAGATCGGACAACCCTGACGAACGCCATTTATGGTCAGAAAACTATCCGACAGGTCACTGTAAACTCCGACGCGGTGTGTAGTGTTCGAGTATAGAGCACGTAAGATGTTCACATATTTCGTGGGAACATCGTTCCGCGCAAGTATAGCGAACAGAATGCATCGATCGGCTGAATCGGACGCACTCTTGAAGTCGAGGAACATAAGCACTGTCGGTCTGCGATATGCGTGGTGCTGCTCTAGCATCTGCTGCAGAGTGAATATATGGTCTATACAGCCACTTCCTGGGCGGAAACCTGCATGCTGTTCCATAATCCGAGATTCCGGTTCGGCAGTGAAGCGACGAACGAGAATCGAGGCCAGTAAATTTTTCACTACGGGCGTTAGGCTAATACCCATGTGATTAACATGGTGCGACTACTCTTCTTGTAGGTTGCAACTAGGATCGATCCACTCCAGTTAACAGAGACAGATTCCTCCTAGCTCATGTTCGAACAGGAAGGTCAGTGCTTTGCAGAGGACCTCACCCCATCGTTTAGTAGTGCAGGTGGGAGGAAAGCCGGGCCAGCAGCACGAAAACGATCGAGGGCTGTGATCGCGTTTCGGACCTCGGCCTCCGATGGAGGCTATAAACTAGTCGTCCATGGCTCATCCTGCAGCGTCTGAGTAGGAAGAAGTCTGGAAGCACGGGACAACTGAACTGATCTTTAAAGCGTTCCGTCCAGCGAACCATATGTCGCTTCTTATTGTGTATCAATGCACGCGCGGTGTCTCTGATTGTCTCACTGGCGCCTGGTTTCTTGGGACTGGTGATGCAGGTCAAATGGAAGAGCTTGCGGTAATTGTTTACTGCTCCTGCCTCCTTCATTTATTGAGCTTGAGTGGTCCACCAGGCTTCCTTGGCACCACACAGGATCCGCTTTGGTTCGCGCCTAGTAGTCTGTCTAGTCATATTGTACTCAGAGACAGCCGGGGTTTTCTTCTCGGTTCCAACAAGTTCAACGAACTCGCGAATATCCAGTGACTGCTGCGGTGACCATTGATAGTGCCATAAGCATGGCGGGCGAGATCCTATTCCATTGAAGCTCAGTATCATTAGGACAGGAGAGAGAAAGTTTCGCACGGTGCGTCTTAATAAACTTGCCCGACCTAGGGCTGAGACAAATTCTCTGCTGCCAATTGAAGGAGACGCTTGGTACGTCTTCCGGTAAAGTTCATGGAGAAACCATAGCGTACCAAGGCATGATCAGAGTCGACATAGGTATTCCAGAACGAACGGCAATCCAGGATGGAACCACGCCACCTGTAACTTATCGCAATGTCCATCGCTCGTGGCACTTCGGCGCCCAGTGTCTGAAAACAGTGCTATTAAGAAACAGTTGGTGTTTCGCACACAGTCGCAAAAGATGCTCGTCGTTGCCCGTCCGTTCGGAATTAAGTTCATAATTCCCACCTACCTGAGCTTATGGAGAGCCCAGGCTAGCTACTAATGCACTCATACCTCCTGCAAAGACTACGATATCTGAACTGGCAGTACTACGTAGTAGCGTGTCCAGTTAGTGGTAGAATATGTCATTGGAAGCACCAAAACTGCAGTCTGTCGGAGCATAAGCGGAAAACAGGAACAAACGGCGTCTTGTACTATTTTATGAATCAACGTTGGTCGATATCGTCAAACGGGCTGCACATAAACGGCTGTTAACCGAAATCCAATCAACCAACGAAGGATCAGCCTTGGAGCTGAATGCGATACCTATCCCAGCTTGACCAGGGGCTGCCGCATCAGTGTCTCCAGATGCGTGCAACCAAAAGCGAGAGGACAAGCCGGGCGCAGTTAATTCGAAAACCCCATGAGGGTAATTGATCCTAGTTTCAGATACGCAACACATGTCAATAACCAGTGTGTCCAACGTGTGCGCGAGTGCAACCTTTTGACTTATTTGTCTTAGAGTGCGAAGGATGAGCGCCACCAAGGAAACGGGACTGCTTGATTTTACAAGGGACTGCTGCCGGTAGGTGTCCAGTGGGTGGTGCGGGTAGCTGCACATGGTTCGACTGCATTGGCATTACGGCTGCTGCCGAATTAAGCTGGGAGTTATAGTAGGAAGGTCAGTAATGGGGGTCGATATGGGAGTAAGAGAGACAGGTGGGAAAGCAAGAAGGGAGACGCCAGCATTATCACGTTTTCGCTTATCCGCCCTGCTGGATGCAGCAGATAAGGCGACTCGAGAACCTGCCCGACGGCTGGTGCAGAATGTATTTGAATTTTGGAGAAATTGCTATGGTTGTATGTGAGCTGAGATACTGCCAGGGCGCCTAGACTTGGACAGGAAGAGGATTAGAGTCCACAACCAAAGCCTTTGGCTTAAAAGCCTGTCCGCAAGGTAGTGGTGAGGTAGCATTACAGAAATGGACACCATCCCATTTCAGACGCACAGTCTCCTGGAGGACCAGGAGACTGAGTTTGTCTGACGTCTCACCATTGACCAACCTGGTAGGAGTAGCTCTCAAGAAGCCCGGTGGCACCACCCAGTATAGCTCAATGGGTCAAAGAGGTACGCAAACCGTCGCACCACGTTAAGGTCCAGTCTTGTTGCGACATGGCCCTTTATTCTTATAATATACAACTCTCCTTCCCCACAATATCTTCACCTCTAATCCTACCACTTAAACTTTTAACCTTCCCATCCAAAATCTCTTCCTATTACATAACCCTTCACCAATTTTATTCCTTATTTTTCCCACCTTCTACAAACCCTCTAAAACCCTCATAACCTTCTAAATCACAACATACTAATATCATCATCTAAATTCTTCATTCCACTCCTCCCTCTCAAAATTACATACCATTTCCTAATCCCATTCATCCTCTACCCTATTCAATTCCTTTATATAATCCTAACCTCCTCTCACTAACTTCCCATCCCAATATAACCATTACTTCATATCTCTTACTCCCCCCCCATCTAATAATCCCATCATCCCCAATACCCACTCACTCCTATTCTTAACATTCCTTATACTTCCCTTAATAATCCCTCTCCTACTTCCTACTACATTCCACAAAACACACTCACCCCATTCTCCCATCCTAACATCCTCCCTACCCCCTATCATCTTCCCTATAATCAATACTCATCACTTTCCACCATACTCACTACTCTACCTCACAATCACCCTCCACACATCCCCCCTACACTTCCACCCCCCCCCATCCACCCACTCATCCTAATCTCTCTCATCAACCCCCCCTACTCTACCATCACATAACCAATATCATCCCAACCCACTAAAATAAAAAACCCTCCCCTTCTTTCCTTCAATCCATTCCCCCCCCAACTACATTACCCCCCCCTTTCTTCAACTATCTTCAACCATTCAACAATCATTATCATCCCTTCTACTCCCCTATTAATAACCACCCTCTCCTAACAATCTCATTCACTCAATCCCCCCTCTAAACTCCTACAAACCCCTTCCATCTACATATACCACTCAAAATAAACCCCCCCACCCCACTTATCCCTCCCATAACTTACACCCTACCCTCTTCTATATCCCCTCACCACCCACTCTCATCCCATCTTTACCACCAAACCCTTAACTTTTCCCCCACTCACTCTCCATACTACTACTCCTCATCCCCCCCCCTACCCACACCACCCATATTCCCATAATCCTCTTACCATATCCCTTCCATAACTTCTCTCTAAATCCTCCCCCCTCCTCACCCCCTCCCCCCCAATTATCTAATTCATTCTCTAATCAATATCTATCACCCCTATCCTTATATAATCCATCCTAATCCCCTCCAAAACATCCCAACTTCCCCCACCCCCATACCCCAATACTCCCAAATACCAAATCCCCTACATCTTCATATCCTTATTCACCCCCCCTTCTCCCAACACCTTCCTATACCAAACTAATTATACCCCCTATCCATTTACCCCATACTCTCTCCTCCCCTACTTCTCAAAACACATCTATTCTCCTATAATACCAAACAACAAACCACCACAAACAAAAAAACCCAAATACACTAAAAAAACATATATTTTTAATATACCCCCCCCCCCCCCCCCCCCCCCCCCCCCTATTGAAAGCGAAGAGACTGTCAAACGCGGACCATAGTGTCAGGGATGCAAAACTTCACGTCAAATTGGGAGTATGTACAAATGTCGCCGTTTCTAAGAAATAAGAGGATGAAAGGAAGCAAAAAGAAGAGAAGTGGGGCTAAGATGGAGTTCAACCAAGCAGAGATATGCCCAGTTTGAGCACCATGGCATGGGTAACAAATGGGAGCGATGGGAGTTACTATATCGAATACCGCCAACCTAACAAAGCTTAAATGGGAAAGGAAAAGCCGAACCACATGGAACTAAGCAGAAGAGACCTCTCCATGAGAGCACAGTGCCAGAAGAAATTCATTCTCATAATTTGTGTGTTGTAAGATTCCAGTGCAACATCTAATTTGATTTTACCAGTGTATCCGAGTTACATCACAATTATCCCATGCCACTTCTCTTCCACTAGGCGGTTTAGGGGTCATCAAACTACGGCCTGCGGACCAGATTCGCCCTGGAATGACAGAACACTGATGCGAGTGATCATGCGTGGAACCCACTCATCCGTGCAGCCTACTTTGCCGGTTTCCGTTTGGTTGGTTCGCTTGATGCACGTGTCAGAATAAACGTCGAGCATCCAGACGCCGTTGGCTTGTATATGTGTCGTACTCAAGTCATATTTAGCGGTAGTTTGAAACGAGTTGCAAGCTGTTGACACGAAATAATGCTGGAAATGGAATGTGTTCAGGTTCAGACATTTAGGTATTGTCCACTGCACGCAAGTAGTACCGTTATCTAGTTTCAGCCCAGTTTGTCGATTTCAGTCCGGTGGAAACACTTTACTTAAACACCCCCAAGCGCCTTGTCGTTTATATGTGCTTACGTATAAATATGGCGGGAGAGCCTATGGTTCGCTGAAGCTGGTGGTGGTTAGATCCTGACAGATGGTCTACCCACTGCTGCTACTGCTGTACCATGGGATCATGTCCTGAACGCCTCATCGTGGCGCCCGCCGGGTGGGAGCTGGGTTACCCCCTTCTCTCTGCTAAGATCCAGGACACCAATCCGCATGAGTCAGTGAACTGACCATGTGCTAGACCCGCTGCCTTTCGGGTGTTCATTTAATCGAAGGCTTTGGCTGAGGACTCAAGTCGTTCTCCTGTCAGCTGTGGGCGCCCTGCCAGTATATCAGTCCATCCTCTTAGGACGTTAGGAAGGTGTCGATGGCCCTCTTCCCGTAAAACATAGCCATGGGAGACAACAGATCTAGGGGTTATAAGCTCACAGCTCGATTGGCGCAGAGCACGAGCGCCACACATTGTCTCTGACGGTGGGAGGGTACCTCCGGGTGCTCAATGGTTTGCTACTGCCCGCCTCAAGCCAAGCAGCCCCAGGTCAAATTAGTGCAAACCCGCCAAAACCTACCTGCGTCTGGCCGTGGTCGCAGGTGCGTATCCTACTACGGTCGCAAAACATATACAAATCGTTCCAGTATCACAAAGGCTGCGAGTGACGGCTGTCAAGCAGATACCAATCTGTCTCTGCAATCACATTCCAGAGCTGGATCTGCTCCCCACTGCCTTGTGCGTCAGGCCATAGAGCCAAAAGCTCCGGGCAGAGTCCCTCAAGCAAACCTCCAAACCATCCACTGCCTAACGGGTCAGGCTACTGAGCCAAAGGCTCCGGGTGGAGTCCCTCAAGCAAACCTCCGAAACCCAACCGCCACCTCACGTGCGATTGTCCACCAATGCAATCGTATGCCTGCGCGCAAAGCACTCAGCATCGGGTGCTGGAACGTGCGCACACTACTGGACCGGAACTCGAGTAAGCGCCCCCAGTAACGCACTGCACTAGTCGCGATGGAACTATTGCGGAATTCAGTGAAATCCGGCTCGCTGACGAAGGTAAATTGCATGAAGCATGTGCTGGATACACATTCTACTGGGTGGGCAACGCCGCCTCAGCACTACGTCATCATGGGGTCGGATTTGCAATATCCGATCGTCCCAATGGCCAGCTCGTGGGTGAACCAACAAGCAACAGCGCGCGACCGATGACTGTTCGCCTACAACTCAGAAGAGGTACGTTTGCCACTTTTATAAACATGTACGGTCGCATCATGTGTTATCCTGATGACATGCGTGATCAACTCCGCACTCAGCTATCTTCCGTGATAAGGTCTCTGCCGAGAAGCGACCAACTATTTCTACTGGGTGCTTTCAACGCGCGCCTTCGGCGTGATGCATCGGTGTGGTCAGATATTATCGGTCCGCATGGCATTGGTTCAGCGAATACGAACGGTGACAGGCTGCTCTCACTGTGTGCCACGCACGGGCTGACGATTACGAACACTCGATTTGCACTGATTGCGAGTCATATAGCAACTTGGACGCACCCACGGAGTGGTCACGCTCACCTGCTCGATTACGTCATCGTACGTCAACGTGATATGCGTAAAGTGCACATGACACGTGTACTGCGTAGAGCTGAGTGTGGCACTGATCACAAATCGGTGCGGACTAAACTGTACATATGTTTTCGTAGATCTGTGTACTGCACTCCCGCCGTGAATCAGCGTAAATTTAACATTCTCTCCCTCGGTACTGTGGTGAAACGTACTGAGATGGAGAAGGCGATGACTGCACGCCTGTGTGATGTGGACTGCACGACCACAGTGGGCGACCTGTGGCACCACATTCGCGACCAGGTGACAGCTGCTGCCGAGAAGACCATCGAGCGCGAAAACTGCAACCGCCCTGGTTGGTGTGATGACAACAATGCGACGACTGGCGCATTGGTGTCGGAGAAGAATTCAGCATTTGTTGCATATGTGACAGACCCCAGTGACTTGGGGAAGATGAACCAGTTTCGTAAACTTCGACGGCGACTGACCCGAGAGCTCAGTCGCATTAAAAATTCATGGTGGAAAAAGAAGGCGAAGCAGATGGAATGCTACGCCGAACGCCGCCAACACAAGGAATTCTTTGACTCCTTGTAGGCGGTGTATGGACCGAGATTGGAGCCGCTGAGGACACTGATCGATGGTAGTTAATGGGCTACCTGCACACAGATTGCAGACATAATGCAGATCTGGCAAAAATACTGACTGTCTCTTGAACAACCGTCCAGAGATCGACAGGCCTACTTTGAACGGCTTGAAGCAGCAAGATGTGAAGACGAGTCTGGCGAACACGCCGACACTGGATGAGACGCAGAGAGCACTTGCTCAGCTGCGACACAGCAAGTGTGCCGGTGCCGACGAGATCCCGCCAGAAGTATTGAAACACTTCGGACTTGCGTTGGTGAGTGCGCTGCACCACTTGGTACAACGCGTTTGGATTGAGAAGGAGGTGCCTCCTGAGCTGAAAGATGTCCTTGTGCTACCACTACACAAGGGAAAAGTGAGCAAGCACTGTTGCACGAATTATCGTGGCATCAACTTGCTGAGTTGTGTGGGCAAGGTATTTGCCCGAATCCTGCTCAACAGCCAAGTCAGTCAGGTTATGAAAACTAACGTGGTGAAAGAGTAGCGTGGGTTGCGTTCGGGTCCAGCACTGTGTTTGCAGATCGTCAGTTGCAGGAGAAATGGGGAGAATGACACCAGCCATTGTACTCGACTTTTTTAATGATTTCACCAAGGCATTTGATACGGTGAACCGCGAGGCATTGTGGCTGGTGTTTGGTAAGTTTGGTTGTCCGAGTAAGTTTGTAAGTTTAATTGAATGTCTACACAGTGGTATGCGGACGAGGGTGCAGCTGAGTGGACAGACCTTGGATGACTTTGCAGTTATCTCTGGTGGGAAGCAAGCCTGTGTCTTAGCTCCTGCCAAGTTTACTACATATCTCATGCAATGATGTACTTTTGATGCCGCTTGTGCTTACGGTGTCCATGTGGAGCACCGTATTGATGGTGGGTTGCTGAACATCCGTCGTTTCGGTGCGAGAACCCCATTCTCTGAGACAACTATCCATATGTTGTTCTTCGCTGACAACTGGGCGTTGTTTGCACACAGCGCGGATGAGTTGCAGCACATGACCAGTGCTCTGGCTTCGACAGCGGCCAAATTACGGCTCACCAGAAACACAAGCAAAACCGTCTGTCTCTTTCAGCCTTCATCGGAGGTGCAATCCACAATTGTGCCGCGAATTAGCATTAGTGCTGAAGTATTGGAAACCACCTCTTGCTTCTGCTACCTTATGAGTGTGATGTCGACTGATCAGCAGCTACACAGTGAGCTGCGTATCCGCGTGTCGAAGGCAGCGGCCGCATTCGGGAAGCTTGAGTACCGAGTGTGGAACATCCATCAGCTTATCACTGGCATGAAGCTGATGGTGTACAAATCCATGGTGCTGTCCGTATACAGCAGTGAAATGTGGACGATGTACCGGCGGGATGTGCGATATCTCGAGCGGTTCCATCAGCAGTGTTTGCGACGGATTTTGCGCATCGGTTGGGGCGACAGAGTTGCTGACACGGAAGTGCTGCAACAAAGAGGAATGTATGCAGTGGATTGCATACTTTTGCTGAGACACCTGAGGTGGCTCAGTCATGTGTGGCGTATGGATTCGATGCGGATACCGGAACAACTCTTATATGGTCAGCTGAGTATTGGGAAGCTGCATGTGGGGAAACCGAAGTTACGTTACCAGGACATAATCAAAGTGAGCAACCCACGTTCTAATCTTGATTACAGGTCATGGGAATCGAAGGCGGTTGATCGGCGTGCATGGCGCGATCTGATCACGAAGGCAGTTGCCGAAGTGCGGGAGAAAGATCCCATACATGCAGAGAAGCGGTAATTGCGGAAGGCGCCGATGGATTGTACTCCATCGACATCGAGCGCATGGTGCTGTAGAACATGCGGTCGCGAGTGCCTGAGTCAGGCAGGCCTAGTGAGCCATGAGCGAGGCCACTCGGGACCACTACAGAAGCGAGCAGTGGTCCTGTAGAGAACGTAGGCAGAACCGGCGCAGCGTTTTTAGGTACGCTGCATTCGATTTACTAACCGCGTGCTTGCATACTGTCTCTTTATCTTAGGTGGTGGGTTTACAATTTTATCCTAATGCTTTTCTTTCTCATATA